TGCAAGCTGACTCCTCCGAGGGGACGCTGGGGCCCCTGGGCTGGGTGTGTGTGTGGTGGGGCTAATGTGGGGGCGTGGACTTTGCCTCAAGGGCAGGAGCTTGTAAACAGCCAGCAGATTGGACAGGGAGGGCAGCGTCCCCAGGGGCGTGAACCCTGTAGACTCTGGGGCACGTGGTAAACAGACTGCTCCATCCGAGTCAGCCCTCCAGGCCCCTGGGGAAGCGGCTACACAGAGCCCTAACAACTCGCAAACACACACACACACACACTCCACACAGAGAGGGCGCTTTGACCTGGATCCCAGCCCCCACCACACAGAGCACCAGCTGCCGCTTCGGAGACTCCTCACCCAGGAGGAGAAGCTGGATTCTGCTTGTGTTTCCAGAGAAGAATCTAAGGACCAGAGAGGGGAGGGGCCTCGTCCAAGGTCACACAGGGTGTTTGGCACAGATCTAAGAGCAGAGCCCAGGACTCCTGACTGCCAGCCCAGCTCCCTGATGGCGCAGGTGCTACTCAGTTGCCCTTCAAACAGTAGGCAGGTAGGACCCGCATGCAAGGCCTAGACCCAAACCCCACCCTCTTGGGCCCCTGCCCTTGTCGTTGAATCGCTGGCCACAGAGCAGATGCGAGGGCGGCTTCTGTCTGCACAGCTGGCTGGGGCTGGGCCTGCCCTCACCTCCTGGGTGGCTCAGGCCCCCTGGGCCTCCCCACCTCCCTCTGTGCCTGGCCCCACGCTGAGGGGTCACACACATTCACGATCTCACTGAGTCCACGCGAGCCCCAGGAGGTGGGACTATTATTCCCATTTCATAGCTGAGGCTACTGAGGCTCGGAGAGGTAAGGCAACTTGTCACACAGCTCTACTGAGAACTGACATTCAACTCACGACCAAATATTTCCCCCTCGGAAGCTCACGCTACTCCTCGGCCTTCCTTAGGAAAGCTCTGTCCCCACGTCCAGGACCACTGGGTCGAAAGCCCCCGTCTGCTCCTCCGGCCAGGCCACCAATCCCGAGACTGGCTGGAGGTGTAGCTTGTTTCGGAAGGTCTGGCCGAGGCTGCCTGGAAGTGAGGGATTGAGGTCGCAGTCCCTGCTCAGCCATGACGTGCTGTCCTCTTCCTCTGAACCTTGATTTTCTGGTTTGCAAAATGAAAATAATACTCAGACTTTCTTCCCAGGGCTATTGTGAGGACTGAGGGAGACAAGGCATGCCACGCGCTCGGTGTGTGCCTCTGTGCCTCTACGGGCCGCCTGGCACGGCCGTCCCCCCGCCCCGCTGCGCCCCACTCCGTCTGCGCCCAGCAGCCCCACAGCTGCCCCTCAGTCCCCCACTGCCTCCCCCCACCCAAGCAAGGGGCGCCACAGCGCAGGGGCCCAGGGTACCCCCTTCCCTCCCTCCTGGCCCGGCCAAGGAAAGGACAGGCAAAGCCAGATGTTCCACAGATGTTGCCAACTGTACGCAAAACAACAGCGCACAAGTGGCTTCTCTGAGACCGGGGTCCATCGCTTGAGGGCCTGCGAGCTGTGAGCGAGAGGCAGGGCCGTGGGGAAGTCAGGAGGGGGACGAGCGCTGAACCAGGGTGGGGTGTCAGCAGGAGGGGTCCGGGGGGGGACGGGAAGCAAAGGGACCAGGGGGCCAAGGTAAGGAGGTGGGGAAGGGAGCTCCGAGGAGTAGGATGACGGTGAGTGGAGCAAGGAGGGGTGAAGCTGGGCAAGCTGGGGGGTCTCCAGGTGGTCGCCTGGGCAGGAGACCTGCAGGGGCCACCACTGACCTGCCCCTCCTTCCCCATCCCCACCTTGGATCACAGCTGGACCTAGAGGGAACTTTAGAACCCCCAAGGGGCTCACGGGCCCTCCTGAGCTCCTGTCACGGCGGGATGCAAGCGGAAGCCCAGGGAGGGACCCCAGCACCAGGCAGCAGTTTGGACGAGATGGTCTCTCCAGGCTGGAGAGTCCAGGCTGCCACCGCTGGCCCAAGCCAGGCCGAGAGAGCACGCCCCTCACGTGGCAGAGGCCGACGGCACAAGGGACTTGACTCACGGCGCAAAGAGTCCGGCTGCAGTTGGCACAGGCGACGCCGAATCTCCTCCTGCTGGCGTCCAGCCGGGTGGCACCGCTGTGCCCTCTTCCCTCTCCACCCGTCCACACCCTGTTTGCCAGCTGACCCCAACTGCGCCCAGCCGGGCCGAGACTGGGCAGCAGTAAGGGGACAGGCTGTTTCTGACTTACTCCCTGGAATAGGCTGGCTTTGTCCTCCAGCAAAACTATTCCTGGAAGGACAGGATCTGGGGTTGAGACTAAAGGCTCCGCTCTGCTCTGACTAGGGACAGAGCCCTGGCCTGGACCGCTGGAGAATGAGCTTTGCCACTCACCCCGCGACTCTCACGTTTAAAGAGCACATTTCCCGTGCCAGGCACCGAACTTGCCGCACGCGTGACCTTACTTAGTCATTGCGACTCTGGGGTAGGTGCCAGTACGCACAATTCACAGATGAGAAGACCGAGACAAAGAGAGGTTACATGATTTATTCAAAGACGCGAAGCTACTGGTAGGTGGCGGAGCCAGGGATTGAGCCCTAGAGCCTTACTCCAAGGCCTTTCACCGCTACGCTGTGCTGCTTCCCTTCCCTCTGCCTCAGTCTTCCCATCTGCGGGATGGGATGGAGCATAATGACCTCACAGCCCTGACATCCCACGTTCACCAGCCTAGAATTGCCAGACAGAGACCAGGGAGCCTGCTCCTTCCTCACACGTGAAAGAAAAATGGGGACCAGCTCACACAGCACTGCACAGGTGAGGGGACTGAGGCCTAAGGGGGCTGGGGACATCCTCAAGGTCCTCCAGGGCCTCCAGGGAACCCAGGTAGGGCCCAGGACAGGGGGACCCAGGCTGCTCTCCAGCTGCTCTGCGCAACCAAAGCCGCTCCGAGGCCAAGAGACCAGGTTGTGAGTAATGGAAACCAGGCGGTGGGGCCTTCCGAAATGGGAATTCCATCTGCCTGACTTTGTTCTCCTGGACTTCGGTCTCCATGGCAACCTGGGGATTGGAAGGTGGAGGGCCTGGCCCAAGGCTGAATCCCTACAACCTAAAGAAGGGGAAGAGTGAGTCTCTCTGTGGACCCAGTGGCTCCTCCACAGAGAGGCCAGGTCAGGCTGGGAATCCCTGGGCTCTGACCCAGTTCTGCCTCTAACCATTTCTGGGGAGACAGGGAGTGGCATTGCAGTCCTCTCTGGGCCCCCGGTTTTCCCAGCTCTCACGTCCCCAAATCTCAGGCCTGGAAGAAACTCGGCAAGTGCCCTCGTTCAGAATGAAGAGAGTAACTCTGCTCCCTGACCCTTCCCGCCCCAGCGAGGCTCTGTGGCCCCGCGGTGGAAAAGCCCTTCACGTTTTACGAAGCCAAACAGGGCTCGCCGGAGGTGCTCACACTCTGGTGCCAGGGAAAAGGCTGGCAACGTGGATCAGCACCTGCTGCGTTCCTGGGCCCAGGTTAGGTCGTTTACAGATTGGCTCGCTGGCTCTTCATCCCAGAGCTGAGAAGACAATAGTATCTTCCCATGTTTGCAGGCACAGAGAGGGGCGGTGACTCGCCAAGGTTGCAGAGCAAGTCAACCACAAATGTAAGACTCAGACTCAAGACTGCCTGATTCCAAAGCTTGAGCAGCCTTTGGAGACAGATAAGCCCACATTTGCCTCTGATGCAGTTTGGTAAGGGCTAATCCAGGAGCGGGTGCGGCTGCCTGGGAATAGAGGGAAGGGGGTTATCTACTGACCCCGGCTACTGCTGGCACACAGGAGGTTTTTCCAAAACATGCTTCAGGGGTGAGCGGGAGGGGGGAGTCCCATTTGCACTGGGCAGGAACAGTCAGGTGCAATCAGAGGGGCCGTCAGACGGCTCAACTTTCCCCCCGAGTGAGGCCCCAGGAGCGAGTGGGAGCAAGAACAAGGACCCACTCCATGCCCAGGCCCCAGTCCGAACCTCCTGCAACCCCGAGGAGGGCTCAGCCCCCAAACTCCCCAGTGGCTTCCAGAGACCACCAGTTCTGATCCTCTCACTGTGCAGGGGGCAAACAGGGGTGGCCTTGCCCAGAAGACCAGCAAGGAGAGACAAGGAGAAGGGTGGCTGCACGGCCCCATGTCCTCTGTGCTTCCAAGTCCCCGGTGTGCAGACCTGACCCCAGGCAGGGAACAGGATCCAGGGAGAGGGGGCCCAGCCCCTCCTGCACCAACTCCATCCAGAGTCACCGCGGTCGGCCCAGTCGAGCCAGTCCCCGCCCCAGCCCATGCCCAGCCCCTGCACCCTGGGAGCTTGACCCGGGCCCTCTTCTACCCACTTCCAGGCAAGCAGCCCAGGCCCTCCCCTGAAGCATGCCTTCGGACCTGGCCTTTCCTAAATTTTTAGGCAGGAGGAGAAATAAAAGCACAAGGGAGAAAGCCACAGAGAGATGCTCTGTGAGTCCTATCTCCTGTCACCTCTCCCCAGAAAGCCTCCATGGACCTGCCATCACCAGCTAGCCCTGTCCACCTCCCCCAACCATCCTTCTATCACCTGAAAATTCCATTAGAACCTCAGGGCGTGGCAGGGCAGAGACGTGAAAGAACTTGCTGAAGGACATATAGCCAGCTGGTGGCCGAGCGAGGACTCCATCCTGCAGCCGGCAGAGCACAGCGATCAGGCTTAGGCTGACCCCCGTCTCTGCCACCTGCTGGCTATGTGGCCTTGGACAAGTCACTTTACCTGTCTGTGCTTCACTCTCCTCATCTGTGAAACGGGGAGAAGCCCAACCTCCCAGGCGTGGAAGGGAGACGCGACGACCACTGGAATGAGCGAGGCCGGGCCTGGCACAGAGGAAGCAGCTAGAGAGCAGCGCTCGCCAGCGTATGTGGCTCCAAGATGGGGGCAGGTGACGGCAAGAGAGGAGAAGCAGCTGGATCAACAGTCCGACTACCAACCCTCCCAGCCCCAGGCCCTTGGGAAGGCTCGAGACCAGGAACACACAGAAAGGGTCAAGAACAATAACACAGGCCTTTTATTTGCTCCAGAACTTGGCTACTGTGTGGTCTGAGGGTGCCATGCTTTCCCGGAGCCCCTGAGGGACACCCTACCCAGGGGGTACCAGATTTCTGTGTGTGGTCAGACTGCGGTGTCCCACCGGGCCTCATCAGTCCCGAAGGCACAGCTGCCTGCCACTGGTGCCGGGACCAGCAAATCCCCTGAAACTGAAAAATGACGTCCACCTCTGCAAGGTGGCTTTTCACAAGGCGTTGGTTAAAATATTGCACTTGTAAATTAGGAAAACTGATGAGGCAAGGGTTTCCTATCACAGGACGACGTGCCAAGCATCCAGCTACTGTTTAAATAAATAAAACCCAAGGCGAGGGTCTGAGCTGCAAGCCCCAGTGGCCCCCCAGAAGGGCCCCAGTGGCCCCCCAGAAGGGCCCCAGAGCCCAAGCCTGGGCCTCCTGCACCATCAGCCAGTTCTTTAAGGAACTTGGTCAACGCGAGGTCTCCGACGTCTCCACAGCAGGGAGCGGCAGCTCCAGATCTGGCTTAGACGGGCCCCTGACCTGCCGGGGCCCTTGGGCCCCCCTCGTACCGGGGCAGCGGGGACCCAACCGGGCCAGTCGCTCTACTCCTCCAGTAGCCTGGGCCTCTCTCGGTCCAGGCCTTGCATCCAAATGTCCATCTGTCTGTCCGGAGACACAGCCTCTGGGGGCTTGCTTGCCCCCTCCGTCGCGGGGGGAGGGAGGCAGGTGGGCAGGGGGCCCAGCCTGCCTGGTGTCAACGCTGAGCTCTACTCCGGTGGCCCCTAAAGTGGGGGACTCATCTTCTTCTGGTTAATAAGGTCTAGGTAGAGGTCAGAGCGCAGAAAGCGAGGGTACGAGTCCTTTTCCATGAGCCCGAAGATGCGCTTCTGTGCCAGGTCGAAGCAGCCCCGCGTGACACTCTGCAGGTTGTCCTTGGTGTGCTCCCGTGTGTATGAGTCCAGGTTTACCTGCAGAGGCAGAGGGTGACTCGGTCACGGCTGCCTGTGGCGGGGGTGGGGTGGGGGTGGGGCTGACTCTGGGGGGAGATGCGGAAATGGGACCAATCCAGCCTCTCACCTCCATTCCCCTCTGCCCACATCTTAAGGTTCACCTGAAGTGAGGCCCTCGGGCCAGTGGATTCAAGGGCCTGAAAACACCACCCCCAGCATCAGGCTGCCTGGGTTCAAATCCCAGCAGCGCCACACCTGGGAGCGTGAATTAAAGCAAATCACTAAGTGCGCTGAGCCTCAGCTGTCTTATCTACAGACTAGAAATACCAGTATATTCCTCAAAGAGTTGTGAAAATGGAGCCGGATTACCCATATAAAACACTTTGCACACAGTGCCTGGCACACAGTAGGCACTCAATAGATGTTAGCTACCATAATTAGGCTCTCTGAGACTGTCTCCGCATTTTTAAAATGAAGATGACATTAAAACCTAGTTCACGGGTTTTCGTGAGGATTAAACACGAGGGCACAGGCATAAAGGGCCCAGCATGTGCCTGGCACACAGCAGTGCCCAGGCGGTGGCCATTTTTATCGTTAACCAGGATTCTGTTCTTTCCCCTGGCCCCGGCTCGCTTCTTCCCACCCTGGGCACACGGTCTCTCCCCTTCCGGAGCCACTGGCTGCCGCCTTGCAGCTGAAGGGCCACTGGGCGGTGGGGACTCGGGGTCTGAGGCCCTACCTCCTTGCACGCCTGGATCGCGATGTACTCAGCAAAGATCTTCTTGGCTTTGGCTGCCATCTTGGACTGTGACTTGACCTTCTTGAAGTCCTCACAAGCCAGCCAGAACTCCAGGTTCTCCTCACTAAACTCGGTGCGAAGGAAGGCCTGGAACACGGCTAACCCATCTGTGAGCAGAAGCCCAGACCCTGGAGTGAGAGGCAGAGCCAGCCCCGCCTGCCCTTGGGACTCCCCGGGGTACGCTCCCGGGGCCTTGAGGATGCACATGCCTGGAGCTTAGTAGGATCGCCAGCTGCCCTGGGATGTGGTCCCAGCCCTGCCATAGCCTCTTTATGAGCCTCGGCCAGGTCTCTCCCCTCTCTATGCCTCAGTGTCCTCATCTGTAAGATGGGGATCATCAATCCTGTGTCCTGGAGCCCCAGGAGGATCCGACGGATCCTGCCCAGGAGATGGCAGGCACATTTCGCCCAGTGTAAACCCTCAGTACTTGGAGATGTTTATTGTTTTTCTGGGAATATGGGTCTGAGCACACAGGTCCCAAGAGCCTCTGGCAGGCAGTGCCAGCTCCCACGGGCAGGGAGGGGCTGGCAGAAGCCGGCTCCAAGGCCAGGCCAAGGGCCTCAGCTCAAGCCCAGCCTCTCCCCAACAGCAAGGACACCTGCCTGGGCGCAGGCAAGAGGGATGGAGGCCTCTCCAGCACCAGATCCTCTCTGGGTCGGGATGAGGAGGAAAGGAGAGAAGGAGAGCGAGAGCACAGGGAGGGGACACAGGCCTGCTGGCCCCCACTTACATTTGTGAAGCAGCAGCTTCTCCAAGGACTCGCCCCACTTGAGGGCTTCCTCTGAGGTGGGCCTGAGGGGTGAGGGAGGAACACAGTGAGGCTCCCGTAAGGCTCGGGGGGGGGAGGGGGAGGCTGGGGAGTCCAGGAGGGAGGCCCACTCCCTCTCGCGGGACCAATATCGCTTCCAGCCCCCACCTCCGGCCTGCCTGGCCTTCCACCCCAGGACAGCTGCTCCCTCCATGAGAGCCTCCATCTCCCAGAGCTGGATCAAGCCAACCAACCCTTCCGCCTTAACCCCACCACTCGGCCCTGCTCCCCGGGGCCGTTAAGGGCCTGAGGAGTGCCGGGGGGGACCTACTTGAACGACTTCATCATTTTGTCTGCCTTGCCCCCGGGAGGGGCCCCAGGGGACTCGTTGCGCCGTCTGAAGATGCCCAGCTTGTTCTTCATGTCCTTGGCTCTGGGGGCAGAAACAGAAAAGGGAGTTGGTTGCCTGGCACACTCGGCCCCTGCAAATCCAGGGTGGGGGTTGAGGGTTGGGTCCAGGGCACCTACTCCTTCATCGTGTGTCGCCTCTGTAGGTTCCCGTTGCGAGTGAGGTACATGCCTCGGAGCATCGCTGTAGGGTCCCCCACCTTGGGGCCCCAGAACAGTCTGCAGGGAGCACCCCTCGGGCTCCTGCCCCCACCCCGAGTCCCGGGCAGCGGGCAGCAGTGGCGCGGGCTGCAGCTGCACGCTCGCTCGCTGGAATCCCGGCCGGATGACTGGACTCCCAGGCACAAGCCAGGGCTGGGACTCAGACAGGAGGAGCCAGGAAATGGGAGGGACCAGGAGGGGGAGCGGAAAAAAATACTCCTCCTGGCCAACCCTGAGAGGGAGCCCTGAAAGGGGCATGTGTCTGCAAGGGACAGCCTCTGGGGCCGCTGCCGGCAGGAAGCCAGACCCAGTTATTTGTGACAGGCCTCCCTGTTACCATGGCAGCAGCAGGGGGGTGGGGGGTGGAGGAACAAGTCAGCAAATTGCTGAGACGGGAGGAGGGAGCAGGGGAGGCTCTGCCCACCAGGTTGGCAGGACTGGCTATTTTTAGCCAAGAACCATTTTTAGCCACACCACCACTGCCTTCCCCCAGGAGGCAGCAGATTCCAGCCCTGGGCAAAGTTGCCGGCAAGAAAGGGGTTAAATACTTCACGTTGGGAGCCCAGACCCCAACACTGGGCACCTCCCAGAGAAGAGCTCCTGCCAGCCAGCCTCTCTCTCGCCCCAGGCCCTGGCACTGGACGTATCCACCCACGAACACACAGCAGGTCCCAGAAGTCTTAGCAGTTTTAAGCTTGAATTACAAATCCAATAAACTTACAAAAACTTCACGTGAAAGTTTAATTATTTAATTTTTTGTGTATATTTAGTTTTGTGATTTTTGAATAATACATTTTTCATTTTCATTTTTGGTCTCTGTCCTCCTGAAGATGGAAAATGCTGACTGAAACCAAAAATGAAAATGAAAAATGTATTATTTAGAAATCACAAAGACAAATTAGTGTAAAAGAAGTTTAAAGAATTACACTTTCAAATGTGTTCTGCAAGTCTGTAGTGTCTATACTTCTGAGAAACAGCACTAAGACCTATGGGACACCCTGCACAATTAAGGGACGTGGGGTGGGGAGAGCCAGACAGCCTTGGGTTTAAGTCCCAGCTCCGGCAGTTACGAGACCTGTGCCCTTTGTCAAGTTTCCTAACCTCTCTGCATGTCAAGCCTTCTCGACTGGCACACAGGAGCCAGCCTGCCAGACCCCAGCTCTACCACTTTCTTGCTCTGTGACCTGGACGAGTAGCTTAACCTCTTTGCACCCAGTTTACTCACTCGTAAAATAAGGACAAGGTGAATAAGGAAAAAGGAAATCTAAAATAAAAGTAATGGTAAAGATGAAATTAGATCATACATGTAATGCACACAGAACAGAGCCTGGCACAATAAATTAGCAATTATTTTTATTATTATCCCAGATGCTAAGAGTCTATGCCTGAGTTTTTAAGAGTGTGAGCTTCAGGCAATTCGAGAGGCAGCGCCTGCTCTGAAAAGAGGCTGGCGGCGCTGGACAGGGCAGCCCCTGCACCCTGGGTGCCTGCCCTCCACTGCCATGCACTGCCCCCAACCCCGGGGGGCGCCACCCACAGCAGCCCTGGCGCTGGATGGACCCACCCCCATGCTACAAACGTTAAGAAAGTTTAGTGGTGCGAAGGACTATTTCTGTTGGTGCATTTCACCTTGCCTAAAAAGTGCGATTTTTCTGCAGAATGAGGGATGCCTACAGTTGCTGCAGAAAACTGGAGAGGTCAGAGGAGCTGGGGCTAGAAAGGGTTTCTAGGGTAGTGGACCCCAGCCAAGGTCAAGGCCAAGGAAGAGGGTCCCAGGGGGCAACTCGGAAGGACTCCAGTCCTCCTCCCCCAGGCCTAATCCCTGCCCGAGGGTGAGTGCTATAGGACCTGGAGGGGAGGGGACTCCCCAGGGGTCACTGTGCACCCTGCTACCTCTCCCTGGACCTCCCCTAGAATCCACGGCCTTGGTTCTGGGAGTACACGAAGACCCGAGGAGAACCCTCCACACACACCTTTTTAATTGGTCCCTCCACAAATATAAGGGGGCCGGAGCATGCCAGAAAGGCACGGGACACAGTAGCTGGGCCAGCAGCGCCCCCTCCTGGCAATGCTCAAGACTGTTAGCATTCAAAAGGAGAAAGAGAAACCAGTGAACTGTCAGTTCAGCCCTTTCTCAGGTCACTCATGAGCCTAGAGGGAGCAAGGCAGTTGTGGAGGTCACTTGGTCGCCGCTACGCTCAGAGGCTGGGCTGGGGCCAGGGCAGCCTGGCTGGTGGCCTCTGTTTCACTGTGGCTTCCGGGCCCCAAAGCAGCACCTTGCCTCCCTCTGCGTGACTGCTCAGGACCCTGGTGACCCCAGGCGTTGTTCCCTGGTGTCTGTCTGGGGCTGTAGGTGAGACTGGGTGCAGCCCCATACCCCTGACTTGGGCCCCGGGAGGAGGGCAAGCCCTTGCGCAGAGGAGGAAGAGGAATGCAGGGAACCTCCCTGCCCACAAAGGTGAGGGCCGTGGATCTCTCCAACATACAGGTTTTTGCTCTTTCTTTTCCGGGAGGCTTCGTCATCGTCCCCAACTGCGTCGGCCCCGCTCATCTGTGGAGAAAAGACACACGCGATGCAGTCTGCACATCCCAGGGCTGCTGCCCGAGCAGAGAGCCTCAGGGATCCAATAGCTCCTGCCACCAGCCCTCCCTCCCGCGAAAATCCCAGCCCTCGTACAACAGGTGCGGGAGGGAGACCCCACTACTGGGAACAGCTTGTCCACGGAGTGTAGTTAGCTTAGTAGAGCTTCCAGCCAAAGGGGTTGCCTCCCGGTGCAGCCAGGAACCCAGCTTGCCGGGAAGAAGCCAGAGCGATGGCACTCAGGACAGAGGCTTTGCTTCAAGCAGTGGGACAGGCCAGAAAGCAGGGCTCCAGCCAGGCTTCTGCTGTGTGACTCAGCCAATTGCTGTCCCTCTCTGAAACTCTGTTCCTTAATTTCTAAAATCAGGATTCGTAACAGTTAATTCAGGATTCTGACATTTGAAGGAGACGTGGGATGGGTCAGCAGTGTGTAAAGTGAATCAGTACACAGGCCTGAGAGCACCTCTCTTGCCTGACAGCTTTCCACAGCTCCCTGGTGCCCCCGGGAGTGTCTCAACTCCGCAACGGGTCAGGGTCTACCATCACAGGACTGGGGCAGAAAGTTCCATTTTAACACCAGTTACAACTCCTTCAGTTGGCTCTCCGGCCCCTGCCCCAGCAACCTCCTCGACTGCCTTCCAACAAAATGGAATGTCTTCACCTGCCCTGTCCCCCTCACACGAAGCCTTTGCACGCACTATTCCTCCCGTGCAGAATGCTTTTGTGACCCTCCTACCTCCCCTCCCTCCTAAGAAACAGCTTCAGGCAGACCTAGACCTCGGGGAAGCACCTAAATGCCTCCTCCCCTGGAAAGCCCTCCCAGACCCCTAGAACAAGGTTGTGCCCCCTTCACCTCTTTTGAGGTCCCCACCACACGCTAAAAGTCTTGTTCCAAATTTGTCTCCTCTGCTCAGCTATGAGTTCCCAAGAGCAAAGCCTCTGTCTGCCTGGGTCACCTTCACAGGGCCTGGCACGTGTTAGGAGTTCAACATGTCAAATCTGTCAAATGAATGAATGAATGAAGAGATGCAAAAGCAGATGGGGAAACAGGGGTCTGGAGGCCCCCCTGCCCAGTACCCCAGAGCCCCGCTGCAGCCCGCACACTCCACCCCGCCCCATCTCTTTGACTTTGCCCGGAATGCCCCCATCTCCTCCTCTCCCCCAGACTGCTCCAGAGTCCCCCATCCTGATCAGGGCCACCCTCTGTCCCCCTTACCCTCCCTCTGCTTGAGTGTCCTCCTCCAGGGGAACCTGGGGCCCCAACAGTGCTACCCCAGAGCAGAAGCCCAGAAAATGCTCTGAGACAGCAGAAAAACTAAAGCTCAGAACCTGTGTCCCCAAACAGGACAGAAGGCCACCAGGTGGGGGTCTCAGCTCTGACTCCTCATGACACCCACTTCGGTTTCCTCATTTGTAAGATAAAGAAGATGGGCCAAGCTTTAAATGCTGTGCTCTTAATTCTGGAAAGAAAAGTGGCCTTATTTCAGATATGCCAGCAGGGGAAGCTACAGGCCTCAGTGGAGCACCCACCCTGGGCTGGCCAGATGAATTACACCTTCATTTATGGAATTCATACTATAGGCCAGACCCTGGAATGGGCATAATCCAGATACTATCTCATTAATCCTCACAATAAATCCATAAAGTAAATAGAGGATCAGAGAAGTTAAGTCACTTGCCCAAGGATACCCAGCATTTAAGTGACAGAGCTGGAATCTGTATCTTAAGTCAAGGCCTATGTTTCTCCACCAGAGGATGCTACTACTCAAATGTAATGACGGGCACATCTTGAATGCTTTCAGTAAAAGACGCAGGGGAAATGCTGCCTCCTTCCTGAGAATGCTACTCCACCAGCGCTGTAAACACACGTGTGTGTACGTGCACACAGGGGCATACAACACATGGTGTGTGAATTCAGAGCTAGGGTTTGGAGCCAGGCCTGGGTACAAATCCTGCTTCCACCAACTTTGGAGACGTTTCCTAGCCTTTCAGCTTCCGTTTTTTTTAGCTATAGCTTAGGCATGATGACGGCCACCTCGCGGCGCTGATGCAAGATTCACCATAATAAAGTCTCGGCCTCTATGGCCCAGTCCTGGCACCCAGGGTGCCCTCAAGCTGCCTGGTTGAGTGTTACGCTGTCACCCAGTGCATACACAGGCTATGGTCACGCCAGCCCGGCCAGGCCGTGCCCGAGGCCCCCACCCGTGGGAAAGGGCCCTGGGGCCCTGGGCTTCCTCCCATTCTAACCTTGGCTTCCGCACTTTATCAGCCCCACACAATGGGCCTGGGGACCACTCCCGCCCCACCCGCCACCCCCAGCCTCTGCACTGCTGGGAAATGGGCTCTTCCTTCCACTGCGGGGAGAGGATTGTCTTCGGCAGGGACCAGCCCAAGCCAAGCAGCCTGACAGAGGGGCTAGGCAGCTCTGACCCTGGGAGTGGCCCCCCGGAAAGCTGGGGACACCCCAGCACCAAGAGGGAATCTGAGGGCCAGGAAGAAAATGAGATGGAAAACTGGGACTCCCCAAGTCTGCACGGAGGCTTTGGCCTCTGGCCTTGGAAGGGGCCAGAGTGGCCCCCAAGACTCCTCCCTCCTGCAGCTTCAGCAAGGCCCACCCGGGGCCCAGCGTGCAAAGGGCCTCTCCACAGGGATTCTCCCTCTTATCTTCTCCCCACTATCTCTCTACGTGACCCTGCTCCGCTGAAAGGCAGAGGGAGGCCAGCCCAGAGTCACCCAGCCCTTCCTTCAGTCTAGGCAGGAATCCCAGGGGCCTGCCCAGCCTCACCCAGCCACCTCCAGGGACTGGGAGCTCACTGCCTCTTGGAATAATAACTGTAATTATAGTAGTGATTAAGAGTGTAGATTCTAAATTGCCTGGATTTGAATCCTAGCTCAATCACTTTTAGCTAACTGACCTTAGCACTCTGTGCCTCAGTTTCCTTATTTATAAAATGAGGGCAATCACTGGCCCTACCTCGTAGGGCCATCGTGAGGATTAAGTCACCACAGGCGAAGTGCTCAGCGCGGTGGCCAGCACAGGCAGTGCTCGGGAACTCTTAGCTAGTGTGGTCTTTGCTGCTATTTATCGAGCACCCACTGCATGCCAGGCACCGTGCCAGAGTGCTTTACTATGCGTTATCTAATTGACTCTTGGCAATAATTCTAAGAGATATGTGCTATTATTTCCCCCAGTTTACAGTGGAGGAAACCGAGGCCCAGAGCAGTGTGGTAACTTGCCCGAGCTGGCACATGGCAGAGACTTTTGAGTCTGGCTACACAGCCCCAGGTGACTGAGGGCTCCTCTGTGAGCAGCGCCTTAACTGTTTCCCCTGCTGGTCCTGCTCTGGCTTCTGAGGCCACCTGGCCATGCATGGCTGCCCTCTCTGACCTGGCCCAGCCTGGCAGACCCCATGGAACCGTGGAAAGAGTGGATCTAAACTCTATACTTATTTGTTTATGCATAGGAAATAATTCTTCTTTAGGATTTTTTAAAATAGGAGGCTTGAAGGTACTATCACATCTTGGAGCTGGAAGGCATTTTCGGGGTTCCCGTGTCTGACTTCTGGCCTAGGCAGGAGTTTAGTGCAGCAGGGCTGGCACCCTCTGTTGACAGCCTCTGTCCGAGCGAGTGCCCTGCAGGGGAGGAAGGAGGCATGGCCAGGGAAGGGCCGCACTGTGGTCTGCTCACTGTCAGAGAACGGCCTGTGTCCCTTTGCTGAGCCCTTCAACAAGAGCATATGGGGCCCAGACACACAACTTACTCTCTGGGGCCTCCCTGGCTCCCCAGGGAAAAGGCAGAGACGAAGGCCTCTGGATCTGCGCTGTGGGCCGCCAGAGAGCAGCCAGGAGGGCAGGGGTCTGGCAGCAGGGGGCACCGTGAGACAACTCAACTCAGTGCAGGCGCCAGCCCCAGGGGTGACTCACTGGATAACCGTGGGGGGCCTTCCCCTCCCTGGACCTCAGCCGGCCCGTCTGTGAGATGACCACGGCTAAGCAGACCATCTCTGGGATCTGTCTGGTTCTAACAGTCCTGCTCGCAGTAGAAATTGCTGGCGGGGGGAGGGGGCAACACAGGGACTGCGTATCACCCTGTGGTAGGCAGCATGCGCCTTGGGCAGCCTCCGCTTATCACACAGCAGCACGAATGACCAGCCCAAGGCCATGGCACAGAGCTTTCTGTGTACTGCTACTTTGAATCCTTGGGACAATTCCAGGAAGACTTAGTGTTCCCATTTTGTAAGAGAAAACGTAAGCTCAGAGACAGAAGCAACTTGGCCGAGGTCTCAGAGCCAGGAAGGAAGAGGCAGAGCTGAGACTTGAACCTGGGTCTGTCTGACTCTGCAGCCTGAAGACTTCACCCCTCTCCTCTTCATCTCTTGCCTGGCCTCGCTTGGGAATAGTGGCCCATCAGCATCAGCTGACGCTCCCAGGAGAGCCAGGCCAATGCCAGGAAGATGGAAGCCACAGGGAACCCGCTGCCTCCACTCTGGCAGCCCGCGACCCCCAGCCCCTCCTCAGCATGAGTGTGCAGGGTCTGGGGTGGAGCCACAGAGGCCTGGACAAGGGTGAGCTCCCACCCTCACTGGCGGTGGGCCTTGGGCAAGTTCCTGCCCCTCTCTGTGCCTCAGTTTCCTCATTGGCGAAACGAGCATGGTAATAGCCCCTCCTCCCTAGGGTTACTGGGAAGATCAAATACATGGACACAGGTATTTAGGGCAGTGCCTGACACTCAGCACCCAGTGGGTGCACCATAACGGTAATGCTGTGCTGAGGAGGAAGGGGAGGAGCGGAGGATAGCAGTAGCAGGAACAGAACCAGCCACTAGTCACCAAGACTCCTCTGCTCACCTTCCCAACGTGGCTGCGAGGTGGGGGTGGTACGCATCCTACAGCCGACGGGCTGAGGCTAGGGACCAGCATTTTGTCCCAGGCCACAAGCGAGTAATGAAGGAGCCGGACAACAGCCTGGTAAGTGAGAGCCCCATGCAAGAGTGGCCACCACTGCGCTGGGGCAGACTCTGAGGTCCCTGCCAGCTCAGTCACTCAAGCCCTAGGAAGGAAGTGACAGGCAAAAGAGGGTTGGGGAGAAGAGGAGGCCAGTGGGAACTCTGGGCACCCAAAGGAGGAAGCTGAGACAGGAGAGAGCCGGTCCAGGCCTGCGGGACTCCCAGGCTGAAGTATCTGTCCCAAAATAGGAGCTGAGGTCAACCGAGCTGGGGAACTACATAGATGTGTATGCCTGGGTGTGTGTGAATTTTTCTCTATATAAATATTTTTATTGGAGTAAAGGTGGCAGGGGGAATAGAACTGGGAAGACTCTAGCGGTGGGCCCTTGAGCCTCAGCCGCCCTCCAGAGAGGAGTGGCCAGGCCTGATCTGAGTAAGTCTGAGCCTCACCTTGGTAAGAGAGTTCCAGATGCTTTCCTGTAGCGGCTGTATCACGAAATGACCTGAGATGGTGATACTCATTCGTGGGCCAAACTTGAAGGCCCTTTTCTGGAGGGCTCCAGTCTACCCTTCCAGCCTAACCACCTTTCAGCAGAAGGTGTCTCCCCAAATGCCAAGTTTGTCATATTGCTAGGGTCTAAGAAGCTAAGCGAGCCTCTGAGGCTATCTATGTCCCAACCTGGTGAGGAAGCATGCTGGGATCCATTAGTGATGTCTGCCACATGTTTGGAGGAGGAATGGCAGCATGAGTGTCATGTGTCTGCCATCCCCGCCCTTTAGGAATTCCCTGCTCTAGCCAAAGAATGCCTGCCTCATCCTCTCTGTCTGTTCTAAACTTGCTCAACCTTCAGGCCAACCTGAGCAGCATCTTTCACCAGCCTTCCCTGATGGCCCTAGGCCCTGGGGTCTCTCCTCCTGAACTCCCAGATCTCTGAGGGTCAGCTGCACTCCATGGGCACTGACCACTGAGCTCCCTGGCCTCACGACAGTTGTCATAACAACACCTTGTATTGGCTGCTGTACTTCAAGAGGAGCAGAACCAGCGTTCCCCGAAGGCCTGCGCTATGTGGCTAATATTGTTAGGCACCAGTCTCTTCTGGTTCATCCTCAACCGCCCTGGGACGTGAGTGCTATAAGCCCCTACTTTTCAGAGAAGGAAACCAAGGCTCCCAGGAACTGAGTGATTCAACCAAGGCCACACAATAAGAAACAGAGCCAGACTCAAGCTGGATGGTGGGCTTCAAGGCCATGGCGCAGTCTGTTCACTGTTAGGCCACGTTCACGGCCCACACAGATAAATCGTTTCTCACAGGCTGAGATCAGCCTCGCACATTTCTGTCGCCCCCGCTGTGGCACAGAGCACAGGGCCTGGCACACAGCAGAATATCAATAAACACTTATTTATCTATTTATAAATATTTGCAAAAGGTGAATAACCTGGTGGTTAAGAGTGCTAGCCCTGGTACCAGATTCTAATTCTGGCTCAGACATTTATAACCTGGGACAAGTCAGATAACCTCTCTGTGGCTCGGCTTCCTAATCTGTAAAATGGGCACAAAATCCTATCCACTTCATAGGGCTATTGCAAAAATGAATGAGTCAATGTAAATTGCTTAGAATAAAGCTAGCACGGAATACATAAGCATTGTCATTGCTGCTGTTGGCTGATGGATTTCTAGTATGACTAGGCCTGGACCATATCTAAATTGTAACTCTATTTCTCTAGCTACTATCTCAGCGCTTTTAAATCCCAGTATGCAACGGCTTGGGCTGGGCCACACCTGCTCTGCTTTCTGGGGGGACCAGCAGTACAACGAAGCTATAAGAACACAGCATTTGGAGTCCTAAAGTCAGGAGTTTAAGTACAGGCTCTACGTTCTTGGTCCCTCTGGGCCTCAGCTTTATCTTCTGTCAAAGGGTATAAGGGGGGCCGGGCATAGTGGCTCACGCCTGTAATCCTAGCATTCTGGGAGGCCGAGGCGGGTGGATCGTTTGAGCTCAGGAGTTCGAGACCAGCCTGAGCAAGAGCGAGACCCTGTTTCTACTAAAAATAGAAAGAAATTAGCTGGACAACTAAAAATATATAGAAAAAATTAGCCGGGCATGGTGGCATGTGCCTGTAGTCCCAGCTACTCAGGAGGTTGAGGAAGAAGGATTGCTTGAGTCCAGGAGGTTGAGGTTGCTGGAGCTAGGCTGATGCCATGGCACTGTAGCCCAGGCAAGAGAGTGAAACTCTGTCTCAAAAAAAAAGCGTAGAAGGTTCATTGGGAGGCTTACCAAAGAGCAGGGATGGGACAGGTGACAGCTCGGTCCCTGCAGTCCACACGCCTGCCCTCCCCCCATCACAGCCTCTCACCCTCTCACCCTACCCTCCCAGCCCCTCAGCCTCTCACCTTCCTGTGTCCTGTGAAGAAGAGGGAGAGGTGGTGCATGGAGCCACCGTTGCGGCCCAGTTCTTTCTTGAGGGTGCGGGGGGAAGGCATGGCCCAGGTGGAGGCAGTGCCCTCGCCGTCAGAGCAGTGCAAGGTGGTGTCAGAGGCGAAGCAGGGCCCGCGGGCCTCCTGCAGCAGGCTGCCCTCGCTGTGCGTCCGGCGCCGCAGCGAGTTCTGCACTCGCAGCGAGAGGCCGCCCTCAGCACCCTGGCCCGTCTCGATCATGCTGCTGCGCTTGGCCTCACTGCGCTCTCCATAGTTGTCATCACTTGTGTCCTCATCCTCATCCTCGTCCCCGTCTTCCCCCTCCTCAGCATCTTCTGCATCCTCCTCGTCTCCCGAGCTGCCCCCCTCTGCCCCTTCCTTCTGGCTGTAGGCACTGTCCAGCCGGACCTCAGGGATCACAAAGGTTGGCCTGGAGGCCGCAGGTGGGTTGCTGGTGGCTGCTGGTGGGTCCCCAGAGCTCACGGACTCCTCAGTAAGGGCCTTGGCTGGCAGGGCCGTCTGGCTGGGAAGCAGATCTTGACAGGGCGGGTCCTGGGCAGGGGGTTCCTGGGTGGCAGGGAGGTCTTTGCTAAGTAGGGGGTCCTGGTGAGGACGGGGTTCTTGACTAGCAGGAAGGTCCTGGCAGAGTGGGAGGTCTTGGGCTGGAGGGGGTTCCTGGCATGCTGGGGAGCCCTTGCTCGGCCGGGCTCCTTGGCCTGGAGGGAGTTCTTTGCTGGTAGCTGAGTCTTTGCTGGACAGTGGTTCTTGGCCAGGAGCGAGTTCCTGCCCAGAAGAGGAATCCTTGTTGGGTGGAAGGTCTTGTTCTGGAGGAAGCCCCTGGCCAGGAGAGGGGTCCTTGCTGGGTGAGGGGTCCTCAGCACCTGGCCCCTTCCCTTCCTCCAAGGGCATCACCCTTTTCTCATCTGCTTCTGTCTCAAACATCTGGGAAACAGAAAGAAAACAAGAAAGGCTCAGAAGAGTGGGCTACAAGATGCCAGACACCACGCACGAGTCAATGTCACAGAGGCTGGTACGAAATCAGGCAGTGGCCTGAATCCTGCACTCCCACGTCTGAAAACCCCTCCGGCTGAGCAGCGGAAGGGTCTCACCCTTGTCTCCTTGCTTGAACTTCCTGCTCCGTCAAAAACCCAGCGGGTCATTTGCGGGAGGTGAGGGAGAGGTAGCGACCATCGATGTGGCTCCTGTTAGCTGTCAGGTACCATGCCAGCTTGAGCTCCCTCTCTTACCTGGCCTTCCTGGCAGCCCCAGAAGGGAACTGTCCCCAGCTTACAGAGAGGGAAAGAGGGGTGAAGTTACCTCTGTGAGTAAAGAAGCAGCCAGGCAGTCGCTGCCTCCATGGACCAGAACCAAGCCAAGCCCCCAAGCCAGAGCAGTCACTGAACCCAGACAAAGGGTCTCTTCTACCTCACTCAAAGTCTTAAAAAGTTCCTAGTGAGTCACTCAAACAAGAATGTACTCTGAGTGTTTAAGTATCTTTGAAACTAGTAAACTGGAATGAAACCAGAACTTTAAAACATTGCCCACACCTGGACTGACCAGATGTCACAGACACACGGAACCTCCCTGAGGGATCACCCACCCAGTGATTTTTAAACTGCTTGGAGAAACCTCAGGGATTCCTTTAAAAAAAAAAAAAAAAAGGGCAAAGCATTTCCTGCCTCACACACAGCCCTCGGAACCCTCAAGTTTTTGCTGCGTTCTGACAGTAGATTTCATTTGCAAAGGGAAAAATAGTTTCCTTGGTGAAAGTCTGAAAAGCAACGATCTCATAAGACGATGTGGGCCCAGAGAACATCAGGAATGTGCCACAGCCACATGGAGGAAGCAGGGCTCAGGCCTGGGCGGGGCCCCTCTCACTCAAGGACTTAAGACTGCTGGAGCTAGAACTATTAGAGCCCAGGTTTTGTCCTTCGAGAAGCCATAGCTACATAGAACTAAAAAAGAGAAAACCCCCACACATACCTGGGAACTGTACCGATACATGGGGATGTGTGTACACGTGTGTGCACACGCGTGCACACACACACACACAGGTGGAGAATTTCAAGGGTAAGTACGCCCAGAACATGGGTTAAGAACTCTTGTTGTAGAGACCATTAATGTCCATTCGGTGGATGAGAAAACTGAGTGCAAAGAGCAGTGGCTTATCCACTATTGCACAGCTGCTCCGACACCAAAAGAGGCCATGCCTGATGCTAAGGAGTCTTTGACACCCTGGGCAGTCTGCAACGGTGAAGGGCCACAGCTGGGAGCAGGTGACCAGCTGTGGCTTAGGGCAGCTGCAGGGCGTTGCACACACGTGTCAGGGGTCACATTGGCATTTGGGTGCACCGGAGCGGATGTGAAAGCACGGTGTGGGTAAGAGCCCTGCCTGGGAGCATGAAAGTGAAAGTGGAGCCCTGCCGAGTGGAGAGGGTGACTGATAAGCGAGGGGAGGTCTCAGAGGACTCCAGGGTGACCTGGCCAGGGTCAGGGAGGGCACACCTTGGGCTCTGGTTCTCAGGCCAAAGACAGGTGCCCGCTGACCCTGTGGCCTTCTTGCCCCAGAAATCCTGCTTGTAGCTGGGAGGTGACTCCACCCAGGGACCCCCTCAGTCCTCATAGCCTCAGACTCTGAAACATCAACAATCCTAAATCCCCACTGCATAGACACGAAGGCTGAGGCCCAGGGAGGGATGGGGGCCGGCCTAGAGTCACACAGAGGGGTCAGGAAGAGCCAGCTGCTAATCCTCTGGGCCTCAAGTTCTCCACCTGTGAAATGGGATAACTAATGTGCCCAAGTGACAAACCAGGAGCACATATTATAGAAAGCGTAAAGCTCTTAAAGGAGATGACGATGGTGGTGGTAATTGTAGTGGTTTTAAAAATGAATCTGTGTCAGAAGTGAAACCTTGGGTCCATTATACCAAAGTAAAGAGGTGTCACCCCCAGTGGAGAGGCCAGCCTTTAGGTGATCTAAAGTATCTGTTTGGGAAAGAAAATGAAAATGTTGATATTTTCTAATATCTTTTGGTTCTGTCCATAGGATACAGGGACAATTCCTCGGTGAGGATTTCCCGGGGCTGTTGCCTGTTCTGTTGATCTGTCTTGCTGCTGGGTGGGTTGTCCTAAACCTCATTTGGTGCAAGGATTTCTGTACATGATTTCTGACTTTGCAGATGGCAGTCTCTCAGATCACCTACAGGTACAACCAATAGCTCACTCAGGGGTCCCATGTTTCTTTTCTTTTCTTTTTTTTTTTTTTTGAGACAGAGTCTCACTGTGTTGCTCACGGGCTAGAGTGCCGTGGCTTCAGCCTAGCTCACAGCAACCTCAAACTCCTGGGCTCAAGCGATTTCCTGCCTCAGCCTCCCGAGTAGCTGGGACTACAGGCATGCGCCACCATGCCCGGCTAATTTTTTCTATATATTTTTTTTAGTTGTCCTATTAATTTCTTTCTAATTTTTAGTAGAGACGGGGGTCTCGCTCTTGCTCAGGCTGGTCTCGAACTCCTGAGCTCAAACAATCCGCCCGCCTCGGCCTCCCAGAGAGCTAGGATTACAGGCGTGAGCCACCGCGCCCGGCCCCATGTTTCTTTTCTAACCCAGCCCTGTATCGGACATTGTGTGCAAGGCACCAGTCCATTTCACCTCGTCAATCCTCACGGTTGTAGTTATTGCTTATGCCCTTTTATTCACCTGATAATCTGCACCTTCCGTCTAAAACATCGCCCCGTTTCATCAGGAAGTAGCGCAATGACTACGTTGCCCCTCCTCCCATAGATACGGAAGGGTAGAATTGACAGTGGGGAATATGTAACAGGGAGAATGGCCTAAAAAAGGGTAAAAATGTTTTCTGTCTCTTTAAAACCCCTTTACCCTTTTTGAGAAATAAAACTTATATCCCTGTCTCCAAAAAATAAAATAAAATAAGACAAGATAAAATAAAAAATAAAATAAAATAAAAATGGATCTTAGGGAAATTCTGAAGTTAAGGACCACAAACAGTAGCATGTCTTTCCCATGTATCCCTAGAAGCAAACACCGCCAAATGCCCAGAGTCGAAATTGGCAATCATGATGCCAGGCCCCCCAGTCCAGAGCCCATCTGGAAGCTAAGGGCTGTGCTTCAGCCCCACCAGGCAGTTCCCAGGTGGAGAGAAAGACCCTCCATTAAACAGACAGGAAGACTGAAGACCCAGCCTGGACGGTGACTCAGTGACTGGCCCAGAGCCACCCTGCACCAGTCAGGGGCTAGGCTGGGACTAGAGCCCAGGCCTTCTGACTCTGTTCATCCCAAGCCCACTTCAGATCTCGGTCCCCATGAACAGCCTGGTCTCCAGCCCATCGCCCCCACTGCAGGGAGCAGTCTCCATCAGGAAACCCACACTGCCCCACAGCCAGCTCCCTGGCTCCCCACATTCGTATGACCCTCCCCACAGCCAGGCCTCCCCCGACCCCGGCCACCTGCCTCTGATAGTCCTTGGGGAAAGACGGAAGCAGCATCCGGGTGGCCTCAGGGCCTGGCACACAGTGGCACTGAGAGGGGAGCAGACCTCATTTCCCCTTTCCTGGGTGCTAGGGGCAGGGCCCAGGCCTGTCCCAGCAGTGACTGTCAGCCTGAGCCCGCCCACCCCTAGGGGAAAGTGCAGCAACAAACCCAAAACCAGAAATGCAAGTCAGCCTGCCTCTGCCAACCCTGCTCTAAACCGAGGCCAAGCCAAACAAAGCTGGCAGGGGAAGTGCGGCTCAGACAGGGGTGCCTGTCCCCAGAGGGCCCCTACCCAGAGGGATTGGCCGAGAAACCACTCAGGACTTTAGGGCTCTCAGGGTGCCCAGCGGTTATGTTTCAGATGCCCAAGTCAGGCTTTGATTTGATCCCAGTGGGCCCACTTTCTAGCTGTGTAACTCCGGCCAAGCCTCCCACCTCCTTGAGCCCCTTTCCTCACGTAGAACAGAGCCCGGTGATGTCACACTGCACTCATGGGACTACTGCTAGCCTCCTCACAGCCCTCGCCAGGAAGAGCATCTGATACAAGAAGAGCTATCAGTAGTCTCATCTTATTTTAGAGATGGGGAAACTGAGGCTCCAGAGGGGAAGGGAATTACCTAAGAAACGAGAAGCTGATGCAGGATTAGAACTTGTGTCTCCTGTCCAGGGTCTCTCTCTATTTCCTGGGCCCCTTACACACAAGAGTTTGGGGACTTTGGGGGGATCTAGGTGCCGAAGAAGAGGCCAGGAATGCCACCTGAGGACCCTCACCTGGGCCCATCCCACACCGAACGCCAAGCAGGCCCAGAGTTCACGGCAGGCTTGTGTGAGCAGTGACCGTGTGCAGGTTTGGTTGGGCCAGTGTTCCTGGGAGAGCTGGGGTGGAAGGTGGCTTGAGGGGGGCTCTGGAGCAAGTGCAGGAAACCTGTGAAACCCAGGGTGGGAGGTGGCAAGTATAGGAGAGATCAGGGCGGGAGAGGAGACACAGGTGAGGGCCAGGTCTCAGCATGAAATGGAGGGCCTGGAATTGCCCCGGGAGCAACAGAGTGACACCGGCAGAGCTGCGTGACATCAAACCCGCTGTGGACAGTGCGGGCAAGATGGTGCAGGCAGGGGGGGACGGGGGCGTGGATGCATTCATGCATTCATTCATTCTCCAGGCACTGAGGTGGGCACTGGGAGGACAGCGGGGAACAAGTCAGACACAATTGCTGCCCTCAGTTAATTCAGAAAAAACAGAGGTGAGACAGCTGGTCTTGAGGAGTGTGGTGAGTGCTCTGATGGAGGAAGTGCAGGCAGCTGGGGACACCCAGTTAGGCAACCAGCTGGTGTGATGAGCATCCAGCCAGAGCTCCCCAGAGAGACCAGCCTGCTCACCCAGGGCCTTGGGTCCAGAGTGCTGGGTGCCGCTGCCCCACCCTCCTGAGGGGGGTCAGTGTCTCTCCCATCCAA